GTGGTGCTGAGGTATCACCTGCCACATGGCTGCACTCAGGTTCTCACCCCTGAGGTGGCTCGTCGTGTGGTGGGTATAGCAACACACTTTAATCAGTGCATGCTCCATACCTCTCTTTCACATAGGGATCTTGCTCCAATTATTTTCATTACATCTTTGAAATGCTCAGCGTGGCTTGGCTAAATTGATCTATAATGAAAATCCCCTTTGTCCCTGGATGTGCTTTGTTTGTTTGTTGTTTATTTATGTCTTCTATCAATGAGATTTGGAACAAAACACTTTGTTTTAATTGCTTGAACTGATAACATGATTTAAAATTACTTTTTCATCACCGAAATTTGCTTGTATTGACACTTATTTTTATTCTTTTCCTTTTTTGTTTCCTTCAGTGTAGTCTTTAGTTTTTTTGTTTCATTTCTTTGTTGCCTAAAACTAGATGGCACTATAGCTTTTGTGAACAACCATTATGTGAATGGCAGAATGAATCACTGTAGCAGCTTGGATCGAAAACTGGTTAACAGACAGGAAGCAGCGAGCAGTTATTAGAGGCACAATGTCACAGTGGGCCTGCGTTCATAGTGGGGTACCGCAGGGTTCAGTTTTAGGAGCACTATTGTTCCTAATTTACATTAATGATATTGGCACCAATACATACAGTAAACTGGTTAAATTTGCAGACGACACCAAGGTGGGTGGTGTAGCAGATACTGATCTAGCAGCACAGAGGCTACAACGGGATCTTGATTTAATTAGTGACTGTGCTGATTCCTGGCAGAATAAATTTAACATAGATAAATATAAGGTATTCCATGCAGGGAGCAGAAATATAAAGAACAGATATTTTATGGGTTCCACTGAAATAAAGGTAGCTGATTATGAGAAAGACCTCGGTGTGTATGTTGATGCTTCCATGTCCCACTCTCGCTAGTGTGGGGAAGGAATAAAAAAGGCCAATAGGATGTTGGGTTACATCTCTAGGTATATGGAGTTTAAGTCAAGGGAGGTGATGCTACGATTATACAATTCCTTGGTAAGACCCCACCTGGAATATTGTGTGCAGGTTTGGTCACCATACATTAAAAAGGACATTGCTGTATTGGAAAGGGTTCAATGTAGGGCTACAAGAATGATTCCTGGTTTAGAGGAATGTCTTATGAGGAGAGGTTAGCTGAGCTGAATCTGTTCAGCCTCAAACAAAAGAGACTAAGGGGGGACATGATCCAGGTATATAAGATTCTAACAGGTCTGGATGCTGTTCAGCCAAATGGCTACTTCCATATTAGTTTAAATACTAGAATTTGTGGACATAAGTGGAAATTAGCGGGAGAACATTTTAAAATGAATTTGAGGAAGCACTTCTTTACACAGCGTGTAGTTAGAGTATGGAATAGTCTTCCTGCTAGTGTAGTGGAAGCTAAAACTCTGGGTTCCTTTAAATCAGAGCTAGATAAGATTTCAACAACTCTGCTTAGTTAAGTTCTCCCCAAACAAGCTTGATGGGCTGAATGGCCTCCTCTCGTTTGTAAAAAAAAAAAAAAAGATCAAATATGACATTATTCTGTAGTATTGTAACCAATGAATGAAATATTATCCAAGGCTTTATTGTATCCTTGAACACTTCAGTTGAACGACACATTCATTATTACAAAGTAGAAAAGCTGATGGTCTGTACTGGATCCTGCATGCAAGCTCTTGACTACACCACTATGCCATCACATGCAAGGAGATCCAGACTATTTTACCTTCAATGAACCAGGGATTCAGAGTGAAGTTAGGCTTAGGGCTAGTCCTCCAGGGAGGGCCACAATGTCTGCTTGCATTTTGGTTATCCTTCTGTAGTTTCCAAAAAAACACAATAATAATGATTCCATCCATATATACATCTCTTCTCTGTACACTAACTGCTTGTCCTATTAAAGGTCATGGGGGTTTCCAGAGCCTATCACGGATACTATGGGCATGAAGGCAGGGAATGGGGCGCCAACCCTTTGCAGGGCACACTCGCACACCATTCACACTTACATGTAATTTAGTAACTCCAATTCACCTTAGCATGCTTTTGGACTGTGGTGGAAAACCTCACAGTGACACGGGGAGAACATGCCAACTCCACACACACAGACCCATGGGGGAAACTTGACCACTTGTCTCAGAGATGTGAGGCAACAGTGGTAACCAGCGCATCACTGTGCCACCTATTATCATTGTTGTTGTTATATAGCTATGATGGCGATTCTATTTTCATTAGCAAAAATGTTGAAGTGCTTTACAATCGAAGCAAAATGTTAAAAATCCTTGTAATAAATAATTCTGCTTGAAAAGATGAGATTTGAGGGCTTTAAAAAAGATTCATAGCTGGTATAATATAAGGTTGTTTCATTATGGAGGCGCATAAAGAGCAAACATGCCTCTCCTCTGGCTTTATCCCTACACCTCTCAAAACAACTGCAGTGACATGGCCTAGCGCACACTTACCTCAACTGCCTCCTGACATCTCACTCCCTCTCTCACTCTCTCTGGTCGTTTATGTGTAATCTACTCCTTGTCTCTCGCACCAGACTTCTCACTATGGTTGGCAGGTTATTCAATGCCATTACCCCCAAATTCTGGGATTATCTTCCTCAACCACTCTGTGACTGTTCTTCATTCTCCACTTTTAAATCTGACTTAAAGATCGTCCTGTTTAATGAGCATTATTCTTCCTGAACTGCTTAGATGCTTGTGTGATTTATCCCTCTCTCCTTCATGTAAAGTGACCTTGGGTTTGTGAAAGGTGCTATTATTATTATTATTATTATTATTATTATATTGGGGTTTTCATCATTGATAGAAACCAGGAGGAGCATTTTATAGTTTCACAGAAAGCCAATGCAGTGGAACTGAATGTGGAATGATAGCCTTTGATTCTCTTACTCTTGTAGGAATCCTGACAGCATGACTCTGGAGAAGCGGTGATGTTCTAAAAGCACATGAGTGGAGGACACAGAAAAGTGCCTTACAATAACCAATAAATGATCAATGAAAAAAACTACATGGCTATGATTTTCAGCATCTGGGTACCTTGGAATCAGAACCTTAACCAATAAATGTTTAAGCTAAAATATGCAAAATTCCAAACAATTTTAATAAGTACTGGAAAGCTATGAAGGGGATCAAACATCATGCCAAGATAACATGCCATTTTAAACAGAGGATAGCGTTCCCATCAACAGTGACTCTTTATGCATTTAAACTGAAAATGTGGTGAGGGGCTTCAGTTTATGCAGCATTCAGATGCAGATCTCTTCCAAGTAGTTTTTCAGGTTCTCACTGACAATCTGGTTTTATGTTGATGTACAAATGCATGTCATCTCCAAACTGCGAAAACTGAGACATCAATGATCCAACCCAGAGGGAGGATGTAGATGAGAAAAAGAATGGGTCCCAACGTTGACTCTTGGGGAACAGCACATCTGACGTATCTGACCTAAGAAATAGGAGTAAAAACATTTCAGAAAGAAATCCCTTTTTGTTCACAAGAGGATGCTATGATTTACTATGTAAAAGGCTGCTGAAAGATCAGAGAGGGTGAACACAGAATCGTTAGCCATAAGCAAAGCATTAGCAACTTTTGCTAGGGCAATAATTCTGAAAAGGTTTCAAATCTGATTGGAATTTTGCATTCAGTGTTTGGTTTCAGTGCAGTGGCAGCAGCTATTTTAAACAGATGGGACTTCACAAATTTTGAAAGACGACAACAAGGAAGGTGGGTGTAGCAGATACTGATCTAGCAGCACAGAGGCTACAACGGGATCTTGATTTAATTAGTGACTGTGCTGATTCCTGGCAGAATAAATTTAACATAGATAAATGTAAGGTAATCCTTTTTTGTTACTCAAAATGGTAATAAACTGAATCTGAATGGATGAGCAGACTGAGAGGTGCAAATGGGGTTCAGACAATTTCACCTTCAAGAAATTGGCAGATTCGTTGAAAATGGACTTGCAACCCACAAGTTCAACACACTGCTTTAAAACACATTTGATCAGCACACATTTAGGTATTGTGCAGCTGTCCGTTACTTATGTGAAACATCCACTGTATAATAACATTCATTTTACCCATGGATATTGGGAACTGTGAACTATATTTCAAACTGAGTGCTTGTTGTAGCAGAGTATGTTAAAAAGCATGGGACATTGGAGGGGCATGGATACCCTGGCAGACTGGAGGGAGCAGCACTTGACTGGGGCCCTTAAATATGTACAATTATATACATAAAATATGAGCACGGGGGTTCAAGGTGACATTTTGTCAGGGGTCAAGAATTTCTAGGTATGCCCTTGTAAACAGAACACAAAATATACCATATAAAAAAAAAGTTTGGTAGAAAATATGTTGTTTTACACTGCTGTAGTGTGCTGGAGTAAAACAATGGTAAATTATACATTATAATTTAATGGACTTTTTAATGGACGTCTGTAATTACAAGAAAGTCAGACTAGGTACTACCTAGCAAAACAGTTAAGGTGAAACTGAAGACTGAAGCAATTTTTCAATTTGTTGAAATATGATATGTGGACAACAGTAGCAGTTGGTAATTTACTGTTGTCTGGTGATAGATTGGTCATTAATAACAATATAGAAGACTTAAAGAGTACACAGGACCAGAGACCTGGCTCTTTTAAGAACCTCAACTAAAAATCTCTTTGGTCTGCGATTCAACCACAAATAAGTCTCCCAAAGAATATCTTAACAATATTTTACAATACAATGCAAATAATGCATTAGCAATGCTTTTTATTTTAGATTCCCAGTTTGCATACAAATATTGGTAATTTATTACACCCACTCAAATATTACATGGTTTATTTTGATTATATAAATTTAATGTCTCTATACTATTAAATATAGCGATAGATTACTTATAATAATATCTCTGTGGCTGCCTTTCTGTATGCTGTGGCCACTATATATCTGTCCAATATATACAGGTTGTTTAGTCATAGGTGCATTTAAATGCATTCGAGGCAGAATAAAGAAACGCTGGCTTGTAAAGCTGGAGGAGTAGAGGAGAGGCAGGCAGACAGGCAGTAGGAGCGTTATTCGTAGCGGTATTTTTCGCATTTGCCCCCTTTTCGTGGAGCTCCCTCCCGGTGCGCCGCTCGTCACGCAGGAGCCCAGCTGCCCTCCAGTCTCGCCGTGCACTCCGGCCCCCGTGTGACACACGGCGCAGCGCTCAGCCCACGGCGGATACGCTGCACCTTTTCAAAACTGCGCTTTGCACATCTTAAGTGAACATTTAAAAATGATTAAGCTCTTTTCGCTGAAGCAGCAGAAGAAAGACGAGGAATCGGCGGGAGGAACTAGAGCTGGAGCCGGGGGCAAGAAGGCGAGCGCGGCCCAGCTCCGGATACAGAAAGGTAGCCGGCTGATCGTGTCGCTCGCAGCTCGCCGGTAAATTTTGAAGGCGAAAAGGGGACATGCTACCGTTTTAGTGGTATGACACCGGTTCTGGGCTTAATGGAAAACAGAAGTGAAATAAAGTAAGAAAACACCACTAATGGCACGCGGGCCCGTAAGCCCCGGTGTCGATTAAGGAAGGCCGCCGCAGTGTGGCCCCAGGTAATCGTAGAGATGAAGTCTTTTGTAATGTCTGACCGGCTTTACTGATCTCTGTAGGAGATACTGAAAGTGTCTTAAGATATACATTTTATAGTTAGTTGTGTGGCATTGTGTTGTAGCCAAACTACACAGTTTTAGCATACCGCTAAATCCCAGAGCATCATGTTGTTAGCAGACTAGCTGTTGGCCTTAAATTAGCGGAGAAAGAAAAACCTTTATTTTATAAACGATAACCAACGTGACATTACCAGCTCCAATGTTTAAGTTGTTTTGTGATAAACGCAGTCAAAATAACGTTAACGGACGATATACGTGAAGAATAACCAGCTAGTCAAGATTAGTATTTGTAGCCAGGAGAACAAATAGTCATCGTTTTAAGCTATACAATTAATAGGTAGCTTGTTAAAAAACGTTACACGATTTACTTTTTTTTTTCTTCCAAACAGAAGACTTCCAGAAATGTTAATTAGTTTTGGAGAGCTGTTCAATTTTAGTGGTGGTTCAACCAGTTCAATCACTTTTGGTGGGTTGGTTAGCAGTATGGTAGCTACCTCGATATAAAGAGACGAAGGTGTACGGATATTAGGCGTATATTTCTGCATACAGTATTTAATGTCTGTCGCTGTGTGTTTCTTCATTGGGTATTTTTTGTGTAGGGTCAGGGTAGGTACTGATAAGATGTAACACTGATCGTGTCTTTTTGTAGCCGGTGCATGATCGGTATAGCTGGTTACGGCCATCGGTTCATGGGTGATGTATCCTCACCAATGACGCCGATAAATGTTTTAATATTTCAGCACTGTACAAACTGGAAATTTAGATAGAAACACTAACTGTTTACTGGTGAGCCACGGGGCATCTGTACTATTTGTGATACCAGATTTTCTTTTCATCTCCCTTTAATATGGTCCTGGTTTAATTAAAAAAAAAAAAAAAAAATCAGTATGACAGCCAATTATATGATGTAATGATTGATATACTTGAAAATGTACCTGGGTACTCTACATTTGGACATACTACTCATTCATTTTGCAAAATATATGACCATACATTATAAATAATGAATGGAATATTTAATTATGATGAGAGTAAAAGATAAATATCATTGTGCTTATACCATGAACTAATGATATTTCAAAACGGTGCCTTTTAGAATTGTCATATATTGAAATCAACTTATTCACTCTTGTTACTGTGAAATATTTCTGTATTACACTTATTGCATAAATGGGAATATCCCTATCCAAGTAAGAGAGGTATATGGTGATGTGATTTGGGGGGGGGGAAGACTTATGAGTAAATAATTAAATGCCTGTGTTCAGACTAAATTGTATAAACTTTGTAAAATATTCCTTTCTGTCATATGAGTTATCAGTCAGCTTGTTTTGTGATGTATTAAAGAAGGTTTTTTAAATAACCAGTTAAGCGGCATGTTTTTCCCTCCTTCCACAGATATAAATGAGCTCAACCTCCCAAAGACCTGTGAGATTGTTTTCCCTGATCAGGATGATCTACTGAATTTCAAACTCATCATCTCTCCAGATGAGGTCAGATCTAGTGTGTTTCTTAGCCATAGATGTTTGCTTACACTGACAAATTCCCTCAAATTGGATTTTAAAGTACTGATGCATTTATTTATATTGTGCTTGGTTTGTTTAACTTATTGATCTATGTAAGTCACCTTTAAGAAAAGTCACCTTTTTATCAAAATGCAGTATATATTCTGGAATGTAAACAGATGATTAATATTTATATAATTTCTTTATAGGGATTTTACAAAGGTGGACGGTTTGTCTTCAGCTTTAAGGTGAGAAATTGTAATTGGGGAAAGATTTCTATTTTCTATAATTTTTCAGTTTATTTTTAATTTTGTGAAGTATTTCACAAACTGAACACTACAGAATGTGCTGGAATCTATGTTGTACGTTGCAGAGCTGCTGGTTATTTTGATCTGAGTAATCATTTATTCAGTAGTTAAGTGTATGGTTATCTTTTTTTAAATCAACTTAAACAACTTTATATTTTTGTTAAAGTAGGGTGGTGATTGTAGTTTTGTTCACAAAGTTTCAGTCCACTCTTACTCTATTGATCCAAGAGGGGATTTAAAAAAAAAAATTGTTTAAATCTTTTTTTTCCTGATTTTTAATTTTTTTTTTTTAAAGGTGGGACAAGGATATCCACATGATCCTCCGAAAGTGAAGTGCGAGACCATGGTGTACCATCCCAACATTGACCTGGAAGGCAACGTCTGCTTGAATATCTTGAGGTAGAACAAACTGCTGAGCAGTTATTCTGTGACATCCTTTATCTAACCTTTTTGAGCTTCTCTATAACACGCCCAAAGACCATTAGGCTGCTTAGACAAACTACATCTGACAGTTTCTCTCTTTGAGAAAAGAGAGTTTCAGGGAGAGTTTTTCAGAAATCACAAAGAATATAGCATTTTGTGTTTCAGAATTTGTCTAATCACTTTTGTAACAGAATCCGTGACTTGGGTTAAGAATATTTAGAGTAACTTATTGCATATGAGTAACAACATAGGAATTTTTACAGAAGTAAAAACATAAAATGGTGCAGTGTAGACGTTTATGTATGTTTAATATACAGACAGTCCTCAGGTTACAAATGAGATCCGTTCCCTAAGCCTTTAAATTGAATCTGTAGGTAAGTTGCAAAATAAAATGCATAGTAGGATTGCATAGTAAACTGGTACTGAAAATAAGTGTGGTGCTAGAATTCTAAAAACCGTACGATTAAAATTTTTCTTCTCAATTACTTGGCAATATGGCAGGAGGAAGACTGAATATAACAGATGAGGGTCCAAATAAAGAGCGAAAGCATCATTTGTGTGGAAGCACTTAACATTAAAAGTGAATGAAAATGTAGTCTTTCAGTATTGCAAAGTGATACTTGAATATCACCACAGCACAACTGCAATGCAAATGCATCTTAAAAGAAGGCATTCAGGTTTGACAGACTTATCAAATAATGCAAGGTTAACCATAGATATGTGCTGTTTAGCCTCTTGGAGAAGCCTAGCCTGCCTTTGTCACCACTTTCACTTAAATTATTTTGGTTAATTTACTTTGTACGATTTCTATATGTCAAAATAGTCAATTTAAACGAAGGTTTATCCCTGCAATTAGCTATGTCATTTTACATAATACAGTACATATAACCAATTAGAATTTTTTTTCTGAAGGTATTGTTCAGTAGCAAGAAAGAGAATGATTATGATTGTCTCGGAGAGCACATGCAGAGCTTATGGAAAAGCTGCAGTGGTAAACTTTAGACTGATTTTTTTAAAACAGACTAGACTACGTTGAAATGGAACCATTGTTAAACTTGCAAAGCTTGCTGAGGTTTATTTCCTTGGAGTAAAAATATTTTAGTGCAACTTATTGATGGTTTGGACTAGTACTGGGTGGTATAAATGGTATACGATATTAATTTGGCCAACGGGAGAGATTTTGATTATACCACCCTACAGCAGAAATTTCCACTCCTCTCCCTTACCCGTCATACTTAAACCCGTATCCGAACCGTTATCCGACAGAAATAAAATAAAATTCCACACCCTATCCGCTATAAATAAATACTGACCGATTGTTTGAAATAGACATTTGAATGTTTCCTTTTTTCGGAAAATATCGAAAATAATCAAAATTCATTAATTGGAATCAATGCTTTAAATAAATTTTGGTATCGTGACAACACTATGACATAATTATTATGCATTAATAATAAAACTACATACCGAACTGTACAAACCGCAGATGCCACACAATGTTTTCATGAGCGTCACTAAGTAGTACGTGCATTTGTTATCACAAACCATTGTATTTAACTCGTATCTTTAATATAATTGGCTTTATAACAGTCCATCCATAAGTACCAATTGTCTGTGAGTTGGACATTCTTAACCCAGGGACTGGCTGTACTGGTAAAGGCTTTAAGAATGTAAAACGTGGGCAGTCCCAGTCTTTTCCAGGCATTCAGTAGCATGTCATTAAAGCCTTGGTATGCCTAAAATGGTACTGATCAGTTAAGTATATTTGTGAATGCATGTTTTGTCTGGAATAGGCCTCCCTGACCAGGATAAGTGGTTACGTTTACGTGACCATCGGCTGAGTTTCTTTTTAGTTTAATCCTTGTGGGTTTAGTTTCCTTGTACTGCACCGTGTATCTGTATATATACAATTCATCAAATGTGATGCGTGGTTGCTATCTGTAATTAAAGAAAATGTTTAGCTACACTTGGATCCATATAAGATATTATATACTGCATTGCACTCTTTTTGATATGGGGTGGCACAAAGAAACGCCGCCCCTGTGGATTTTTTCCCCCCGAAGGTGAATGTCTAGGCTGGAGCTGTGCAGAATTTTGAAAGGTCGTTGGGAACGATCTGGATTCTTTTTAATATGCAGTGCCATGATAATCATTTGCCCATTATCTGGTGTTCGTCCCCCTTCACTGCTTTTCTTCTTCTGAGTTTGGCCAGAACTCTCTGGCTTGTATTGGTATGCAGAGGGCATCTGAAAAGAAGAACTCTACTCGTATGTATTTGAATGTATGAAAATTATTTCATAATTAATGAATGGTGATGGACAGCAGTTTGAATCCTTTGCTGTATACCATCATGTAGGGCTGTACAATATGGCAAGATATTGCGATGTGCAATAAATCTGGTGATATTGGGATAATGATAAATGATGCAATAAATTAGAGACTAAGGTTGTGCAAGACATGCTGCTAGAATTGAGGATAGAGATTGTTAGCTGTATATGTTTATTAAGCAAATTGCATTCAATAACGGTGCAAAACAGTGTTTTGCGCAAAAAGCAACACTGCAAAATATTACAAATAATGATTCTGTAAAGTTGTTTCCAGCAGTAGTAGAAATTAAAAAATGTCAGTGTTACAACCTATATAAGACCTGCAAATTCTCAAGAATCTGAAAACCGTCATAAATAAAAGTAATCATTTTATCAGAAACAAAATTGAGCTTTGTAACTCCATCTTTAAATCAAAGTTTTTTGGGCAAGAACAGTAGCACATTCACTTTGCTCAGCTTTAAAGATGAACTGTGACATTCCCTGATGCACTACCTAGTCTTTCAGAAGGTGCACTTGTGGCAGGCACACACATACTTCCTGGTTAGCTTGCTTAATTCATGAACGTTAACCGGGTGCATTTTCCACCAAGCCAAAGGATCCATTTCACTGCAAATTGTGGGAGTCAGAAATTAACTTAAGTTCAACTTCAGCTCCAATGGACTTGGTTGTCTTCAGCTTCTTCTTGCTGTGTTGGGCTGTGACTGAATGGCTCTGCTGAGGCCCAGACCCTAAACCCGCTAAACTTCTGGTGCTGACAACAGCAGGCTGATGCTCTTGTTAGAGAGAAATTAGTTGAGCATGTAAGTATATATATATTTTTAATAATGTGAGTTATATTTGAAGCTCTTCACCCATCAATTATATGAAATAACTTACCCTTCGTGTCATCAGCATCAGACAATAACTGTCTTGATGTCTGTGAGGTTTTCAAGGCACATATAGTTTGCCTTGAATCATGGATCATGGAAAGCAGCTGTATCCAAAACATTCTGTGGTAATAAGCAAATGTACATGATCAGTTTTCATACTGTGATATACCGTGAAGCTGGTATACCGTTGCAACCCTCATTTGTAAGCATTGCCAGTGAGTTGCCATTTTGTTGTCTGTTGTATGCTGGGTTTTCTACAGTTCATACAGGGGAGATGTTGATGTGCATGTGCCCTAGCATACATTAGAAATTAGTTAAATTATTAAATCACATACCAGCTAATCTTGATATAGGTATGCCATTGCCTACAGCGTCCTACTAAAAGGGAAAATAAAATTTGTCTGACTTGCCTTTGTTCTACTTTAGGTCCAGAATCTAGTTTGTTAGCAACTCTGGTCTATGTTTGCCAGTAAATCTGAAACATTCACCCACGTGACTTCATAGCACTCACCTAAGTTGCCTTAAAAGTATCTGCTAAATGCTGTAAATACAAGTCATGTACATGTTACGCTGTTACTGGCTAGTTAAATCACTGAAATAAAACACTGTGGATAAGGTGCAGTCTGTGTCCAAAACATTGATCATATTTGTGGCATTGTTAGTGGTGAAACACACTAGCCCGTCCTCGCATAAACTCCAGGAAGCCAAAGCCTCCCACAATCCCAGAGCTATATTTTCCCCACTGTGTTCTTTGGGGAATTAGGACATCTATAAACACTGAGCCTTAAATTCAAAGTCACAGTTGATGAAGTGAATTGTCATTCTTTTATAGGGCTCCAATGTCCTGCTGGACCAAAGATTGGTTGTACATACAAAAAATGGCACCTCATTCAATTTTCCAGCACCCGTTTACGACATTGCTCAAGCATCTCTGGGATGGTGACTTGGGAGGAATGCATGTGGGATTGAATCTGGTTTTGTTTAACGTGATTGTTGATACGGTGCACAGAACCTTTTTTGGGTGGTATTTAATGGCACCATGTCTTTAGCCAGGTAGTGTGTTTTTCACTCAGGATTCTGACTCATATGATGACATGCACTCAAAACTCAATGGCTGTTATGGCTCAGATTTTGCCTTCTGTCTGACTGTGCTGCTTGTACATTTTTGTGAACAGCACTCTATGCTACTCCTTACGCTTGTTTAAAATGGTGGAACAGGTTTGTTTTGTTTTCTCCCCATGTAGCCACCTCTGCTTGACATAATTTGCAAAAATACCCATGCTTGTAAATAGTCTTCTCGTTTAACACAGAAGTGCTGCCACACAATAGATATACTGGCTTGTTTGGAGACCCAATCCTTTGATTTTCAGACTCGGGTACGTTCATGATGTAGCTGCTTCTGCTTATAGACAAGTGGATACTGCTGCTATTTCTCCTGTTCCACACATGACTTAATCCGTCTGCAAGGAGCGTCCGCAGAGAGATTGACACCTCTCAAAGACTTTCACTCTTTTAGTTTTTAGTAGGGGTGCACCGATTGCAGTTTTCTGGCCGATCAACGATCACCGATCCTTAGGCAACCTTACCTGCCGATCTCGATTTTTTTTTTTGCCGATCTTGTTTCTTTCATAACTAAAAGACAGTTACTTCAATGTTTCCATTTTTATTGAGTAAATTGATATGAATACTCACAAAACATGAGGTAGTGTCCTCAAATATAAACGAACATATAAATGAGCATTGCTGTTTGAACTACAAAATCATATTTTTTCTTCCAGACTTTAATTTCTCTAATTTTGTAAAAAATATATATATATATAGCTGTTATGACACACTTGTCCAAAAAATAGGGAGGGAGGCAGCCTGCACTGCACCTCTCTCGGGAATGGGAGAAAAGGCTGATTTAAAAGCATATAACTAAGATCGGTGGATCTCATGGGAATATGGTCGATTTCTGATCCCCTCAAATTAACGTGATCGAGGCCGATCGATCGGTGCGCCGATCGATCGGTGCACCCCTAGTTTTTAGTTCAGTAGTTTGCTTAGTTTAATTGGTTTTATTGTAGCCCTCACAATATGCTTATTGCATAAATGACCTATCGCAATAACAATACAGATGTAATTGTTCAGCCTTATCATTGAGTATGAAGCAACAGTTTTTACAAAATCTGCATTGAAGATCCCAAGGACTTCTGGAACAGTACACTATGGGCAGATGACTCAAAAGTTTAACTCTTGCCCCATTACACCAAATGATAGTTTCTATAAGGCCTTGACCAAATTGACATTATTCAATGAACTGTGAATTCTGCCCCTGACTCCTCTGGAGAATGTTAGGCCATTTGTCCATGAGCTGAAACTGAACTGCAAATAGGTAGGACAGCTAGAAAGTAATTTAGAACCATAGCCCTTATCCTACTTAAATGATTTAAATAAAAATGCAAAGATAAAACTTAAATACTGAGACTAATGAGCTGTTCATTACCTTTGCTGGTAGACTGTTACGGGCAGCTGATAACCCTGTAAGTGAAGCATCTGTTGCCAGCAATTGAAAATGCATTGAAAGGCCATTTGAATTAAAGAGCATCAAGCTGATATTCCTTTCATGGAAACACTTTCTCTGTCATCCAGATTGTCAGATCAGCTGGCAAGTTAACATCCATCCCCCCCCCCCCCCCCGCCCCATTTGAAGGACCACCGGTTGGTGAAATTTATCAAGGGGGCAAAATATAGTGTAGTGACTCGGCTCAGCCCAGATTATTTTATTTGTAAATGAAGTTCTCACTGCAACAAAGGTTGGAGACCGCTGCTTTATGGAATGACTTGTCAGTGCCTACTTGTAGTCTTCTGATCTGGAATGGTTATAACTTGTGCATAGTACTGAATCCTTCATTTTATTTGCCACAGTAATGAAAAACATTAATATCCAGAGTTTTCATTGATTGTTTTTCTACATTGTAATGATGGAGTGACATTTTTGATTAGATTTTGTAAGTATCATGCTGTAAATCGTTCTCTTGACTTTCTGTTGAATTGAATAACATAGCTTGGTAAAATTTTTAATGGTCATTAAGTATGTGGCATTAATAAGTAACTGCATATTATGTGGTTTGGTCAAGACAATATCATTTATAATCCTATGTTTGTAAACATTAAATTGAAATTCAGCTTTGAGAACATTCCATTATCTGGATGAGATATGATGTGATGGCAACATAAGCAAAATAGTGACAAGAAAAGCAGGATATTTCATGCAGTGGGCCCACAAAATTTGCAGGTACATACATTATGTATGCACATGACAGTACAAAAAGCCTCTTAGTGTTCATGGTCAGTGAATACTGGTAATGTTAATATTGCATGGAGTGTCATTTCTGCATATGTTTGATCTAACTTTTCCTCATTTTCTTGGCAGAGAGGACTGGAAACCTGTGTTGACAATTAACTCCATCATCTACGGATTACAGTATCTGTTTTTGGTGAATATATTTACCAACATATGTTACTGTCTTGCATGCTATACGTTTTCCTGCCTATACAGTGGATATAAAATGTCTACACACCCCTGCCAAAATGGCAGGTTTTTGTGATAAAAATTAAACCAAGACAAATCATGTCAGAACTCATTCAACTTTTATTGCAAAATTGCAGCCTATACATTGAAGGTGAAAGCAAATTAGAAACCAATAATTGAAGCACCTTTCGATTTTATTATAGGACTTAGTCTTTTTGGGTAAGAGTCCACCAGTTTGTCACATCTCGACCTGGCAGCTTTTGCCCACACTTCCTTGCAAAAATTTTCCAGATCTGTCTGATTGCGAGGGCATCTCCTGTGCACAGCCCTCTTCAGGTCACCCCATAGATTATCAGTCAGATTAAGGTTTGGGCTCTGGCTGGTCACTTCCAGAACATCGATCCTCTTTTGCTTAAGCCATTGCTTTGTCAATTTAGATGTGACTAAAGTCCCAGTTCCAGCTGTAGAAAAGTAGCTCCAAATCATGATTCTGCCTCTACCATGCTTCTCTGTGGATGTGGTGTTCTTTTGATGATGTGCTGTGTCATTTTTGCACCAAGCATACCATATGGATTTATGGCTAAAAAGTTCAACATCAAATCATAATGCATTTTTTCCACATTGTTGTGGGAGTCTGGATATACATTTTTAGCCAAGTTTAACCTGGCTGGGATGTTTTTGGTGAGTAAAGGCTTTCATCTTGCTACTCTACTTCACAACCCAGGCATTTGAAGAATATGAGAGATAGTTGGCACATGTAGGGAACAACCAGTACTTGCCAGGAAATCCTACAACTCCGTTAATGTTGCTGTAGGTCTCTTAGTGGCCCCCCAGACCAGTTTTCTCCTTGTCTTTTCATCAGTCTTGGAGGGACATCCTGGTCTTGGTATGGTCAGTGTTGAGCCATATTTTCTCCACTTGTTGATAACTGTCTTCACTGGGCTCCCTGGGATGTTAAATGCTTTGGATACTTTTTTGTACCACTCTCCTGACTGATATCTTTCAATGATGAGATCCCATTCATGTTTTGAAAGCTCTTTGCGGACCATGGCTTTTGGAGCATGATGCAACCAAGACGATATCAGAATAATCCTACAGGAACAGACAATCTTTAACCAAGATCAATCACAGTCACCTTAATTGATGTCGGATGTATATTAACTATTGTTTAGGATGAGACAATGTGATTGGTTGATTCTGAACACAGCCACATGCTTGATTATTAAAGGGTGTGCACAATTATGCAGCCAGGTTTTTGTATGGTTTTTATTTTCATTTTTTACCCAAACAGTCTTTAATTTGTTTTCATGCTCTTTGTATAGACTGCAATTTTCAAATAAAGGTGGAGTAAGATCTGACATGATTTATCTTTTTAATGTAATTGCATCTGTTGACCCGTATTATTGGCAGACTGTGTAGTGATGCTCAATCTCTGTGTGTTTAACCTTTGCTCCCTGCTCTTCTCCAGGAACCCAACCCAGAAGATCCCCTGAATAAAGACGCAGCAGAGGTCCTTCAGACAAACAGGAGGCTGTTTGAGCAGAATGTACAGAGATCACTGAGGGGTGGATATGTTGGGGCGACTTACTTTGAACGATGTCTTAAATAATCCTCAGGTTCTCCTAATATATAAATATATATATATAAATGGCCAATTTACCCAGACTTACTGACGGAGCAGACGAATCACTGTGGGCGAGGGAAAGACATGCAGATAGTCAAATGCTTCTTTTGGAAATTTAAAATGGCAAACGTCACCACACTGAAATCCATGGCTCGCTGAGGTCAACCTGATTCACTCTCCAGATACGGACTGATGTACATTTCCCATGCAAACACGCATTTACAGACACAGGCGAAAGACTCAGAACACTGTACAGGCTCAATGGAACACTGATATTCACACTGGACAGGCACCCAAGGCAAGATGCACGTACAAAAAGAGAACCATTCATATACAAGCTGACTGAGGAATCACATAGTTGTGCAAATAGGGCTATGTTATCGGGAAGGGGGTGAAATCTTCATGTGTAGTAGGATTTTTTTTGGGGGGGGGGTTACTTGTTTTGATGGGGGCTTAAAAATGTTAGTGCTATGGTGTATATTAAAATCCTAGCTGTTCACAGCTGATGACTGCGATATAATTACATTGAATATTATAAACAATTATAATTATAGTAAAATTAATGCAAACCAACAACTTATATTTGAGGATGGACAAATACAAATAAAGTATTTTTTTTTTAAGAAACGTCAGTCAGTGTCAGTGAATTAAGTATTTATCTTATTTCTTGTCAGTTTATAATGTAGATAAATAACTACCAGTTTTTGCTCTTTAATTGTTTAAGTGCCTGCATAATGACACAAGAAAATGGCTGGGGACCTGTGTCTCGTCATACGTTTTGTACAGCCTGTGATCTTCACAAACTTTAACACTTCATGCCCTGTAACCCATCATGACGCTCTTCAGATACATTTTTGATTTCATCAAATAAAAGCATTGGCAACCGGATTTTATCATGCCATTAAGGCTGTGGATAAATGTTTAAAAGAGCAATATAAATCCATGATTTTGCCTAATGGAGATGGTGACCAAGTGTATATGGTTTTTTTTTTTAGGGGAGGGGGGCTCCTGGTTGGATCTGTTCATTGGGAACCTTCTCTTGCATTCTTGGGGTTTTTGACTGCGAGCTGGCACCACTGCGGCTCCTTCATGCCTCCTGTTCTGCAGTTACTGATATGTCTGGCCACAGATGTCTTCTTGGGGGTAGTCCATAGGCGAAAATGTATAAACTCATCTGCAAATGCTAATTAATCTTAATTCTTTCTAGTTCTCCTTGATATTTTAAGTTAATGAGCTGCATTTTGTAAATTTCATGGAGGCAGCTGCTGAAACCATGCAGTAATAAAATGAGAATTGGATGCTTTGAGTTTCATTCGCCACCGAATTCCCCAGCTTGTGGTTGTATTCGTTTACTGCGGACTCTCCGATGAAATGCTGTTTGTTTAATCGCTTATGACTGGTCAGTGAGTTTGTCACCATCCTTCAAAACGGGTGCAGTCTGTCCATTTTAGATGGGTAAATGACAAATGACGAGTTCAAAATTGAAACCCAAAATGAATTAAACTTCATACAAACATCTACTTTTAAAATACTTTATTAAATGACATGGATGCAGTTTTTTTTTTTTTTAATAAACATTTTAGCATAATTTGGTACACTTGTCCTGTTACACCTCCATGCTGAATTATGGATCTGGATCATGATCCCTCTTGTTACTTTTCATATCTTCTTCCCCTCAACCCTACACTTAACACATTTCCTTTTTTTATTCTGTTGCCTCTGTCTAGTGATAAATGCTTTACATTTATTATAATTTATTTATGGACATATTAGTGACAATTGATATGGCATGATTTTGGTGACTGATGCAAAACATTAAAAGCTGGAAAATTAGTTTTTTATGTTTATGAACTAGTGAATAATTACTTAAGATAATTACAGGTATATCCTTGATCCCGTGAAATGCATGTTAAACTCAACAGCAAAAAAAAAACCCATTCTATACATGTGTTTCATTTGTAACTATTTCCATCTGTATTCCTGGATGAACAAGGAGAAATCCATTTAGTTATTCACACGCTGTCCATTGTTCCCCCAATCTAGTTAATCGGCAAAGAGGACTATATTGGTTAACAATGGTCTGTAAACACACACTCCGAAGACCAACATGATCAGAATTGGTGAATCTCCAGATATTTTGTTCTTGCTGCTCCCTAAAGCTTGTGAGAACAGGATTGATATCACCCTGACACTTGTGTCTAAATAAGCACTGCAGAAGTCTTTGTCCTTTCAGAAGGAATTTGTAAACCAATAAAGCTTGTAATACAACTGAAAATGGTGATCTTCCTGTTTATGAACAGCATTATATAGTAAAAATTCTAGGGCACTGTGTTCTGTGGAGTAAACCTGCAGCCCTCTCAGTAAATCTTAGACACGGTATAAAATTTGAAATATAAAAAATGACAGCATTGACTTTCAGTATTTTTATGCCTTTGCAGGCTACACTTTTGGATTTATAAAAATAACGTTTCCGGCCTTTGCACTTTCTGCCTGTGTTTCTGTGGGTCTCTCCACATTGTCTATGGTGAGTGATTCATGATAGACTGCAATCCCAATGTTTACTCATTAAACTGCTCACGATCATTTTTACAGAAATCAAGCAAAATTTCATATGTTGTTATATATAGCATCGTGGCATTTGTCAGATATAGAAGAACAAATTCTATTCATACTATGTATGGTAGCTCCGTGGGTGGCACTGTGACCACACACCCCCATGCTTGTGGATCGGGTTCTGTGGAGTTTGCATGGGTTTCCTCTCATTTCCTCTTGCCGTCAAATGATGTGCCATTAGATGAATTGGTGTCTGTGAATTCTCTGTATGATTGTGTGTGTATGTGCCCTGCTGGCCATTCCATCCAGGCACATTGACCCTGCAGTGAATTTGTGGTATGGAAGATGGATGGATATTAATTCTGGAACATAGCAAAATGCCTTTATTCAAGCATCACAGCAGGGGAAGGCTTACAGCCTTGAGTAACTTGTTTATAGACTGTCATTTTTCATGCATGCTTATCCTCTTGGTCTTTTCCCTAAATGTCTTTTCTGCAGCTAAAGTACTACACATCACTCATTTTGTAGAGACAGCAAACTTGTATTATCCATTAAATAGGACAAGATCTGTGAATGATCAGAAGTGATTTATTCCACCATGTGTTTAGGATAAACAACGTAGTACAATGATACAGACTCCAAATATCAACTAGGTCAGTTGTTCAAATACTGTTCATTTTGTTCAATTCTATTACCATAATATCTCTACACAACTGAGTAGTGACTCTCCCTGCCGGCCCCTGGAGGATGGGCTCCCCCTTTGAGTCTGGTCCCTCCCAAGGTTTCTTCCTTCTAGGGAGTTTTTCCTTGCCACTGTCGCCTATGGCTTACTCACTGGGGGCTTTGGGCGGGGATGCTGTAAAGCGCTTTGAGACGATGTAATGTGATAATGCGCTATACAAAAATAAATTTGTTGTAATTTGATGTTGTAGTGGCATCCTCATTTTATTGAGATAGTTTACACAGATTAGGGAGTCTGTTCCTCCCAATCCAGGCCCAATCCAGGCCACACTGTCGGTGCTCACGTGAGCGTTGAAGTCCCCCAGCAACACGATGGAATCCCCTCCTGGTGCGCTAACCAGCACACCACTCAGAGAGTCCAAGAAGGCTGGGTACTCCGAACTGTCATTCGGCGCAGATGACAGTAAGAGACCTCTCCCCAACCTGAAGGTGCAGGGAGACAGCTCTCTCGTTCACCGGGGTTAACTCTGATGTTAATGCACAGAGCTGTGGGGCCACCAGTAGCCCCACCCTAGCTCGGCAACACTCACCCGCTGCAACTCCAGAAGAAAAGGGCATGCAGCCCCTCTCCAGGAGATTGGATCCAGAACCCATGCTATGTGTTGAGGTGAGCCCGACTATAGCCAGTATCTCTCAACCTCGCACAAGCTCAGGCTCCTTCCCCACCAGAGAGGTGACATTCCATGTCCCGAAAGTCAGTTTTGTCATCGGGGGATCGGTCCGCCAGGGCCTCCCTTGGCTGCCACCTGATCCACATAGCACCGAACCTTGGGTGTGTGTGTGTGTGTGTGTATATATATGTATGTGTGTACCTGCCTGGTTGTACGGCGATTACATACCAGGCTATTTTCCATCCCTCTGCTAACAACTTATCCAGAAAGGTCTGTGGTGGTCTCAGGCCTGTTTTTAAAAGCAAAGGGCAATAAGGCAAGTGCATTTTGGGGCATCTATACTCTCACGTGTCACACATTAAAAGCAGTTTACCTGCACAGTAGGATGAGCTACGCAAGTGGACATTTCCACATCACAATAAGTAGCTACCATATCTCGATATTCCTCAGTCACTACAAATATAGCAGCTTTTCTTCAAATAGTGCTTAATAAAAGATTTTATCTATTATTAATCTCACGCCCATAGCTTCCGGGATGGATTAAATAAAAATGTAATATTATTTACAGATTACAGTTCAGGGAAACATTGCCTGCTGCTCACGTGTGTTCATGTGCTTATTTTGTAATTAATAAAATTTAACTGTACTATCTGCTTTCAGGTTTTGGGGAGAAGTTGTCTTGTGTTAGTTGTGTTGTCTTGAATTATTCAGCTTTGTGACTAATTACTTACAGTAGCTTAAAAAACATAGTACTTAGCACTAGCTAAATCTATACAACAGTCATTCTTCTCTGAGTATCAAGGTGACATAAGTCGAGTTATTGTAGGTTATCTTTCCCTATTCATGAATTCATGAATGGATAAAACAGAAATATATTATTAAACAAAAATTAATGTGAGATTACTGAGATCTCTGACATTTTAGATATGTGACACTCAAAAAAATATTCTATTCAAAATTAGGTCTTAAATGTTCATTAATTACATTTTTCTAGATGCATTGGATTTGGAATAATTTGGTTACTGTTTGTTTACTGGTTTATTAGTTTTAAATGAGAAATTTGAATTTCCTTAAGTCTTATATTATCCAGAGGAGTGTTGGCAGGTAATTTATTATGCTTGGCTTTAGTGACATCTCGCTACACAACTTCTGTTACGCTGATTCCTTAGATCCAAATGGGACGTCGCCTGAATAAATCGGCCTGGGCGGGGGGGAGGGATATTGGGATGTATCAAGCATCAGGTTAGGTAGTTTATTGTTTTCACCTGTATCCATGCTAGATCAAATTCTACTTGCTTCTTGGCAGGCTACTTGGCTGACATTAATGAAGAATAGCATCTGTTGAGTTTTATTTTGCTTTCAGCTGGTGCTGGTACTGCACATTGTGTCAGCACTGTGTCAGTGAGCTTAATAGCATTAGCCTTTCTAATCCTTTTACCTTATGTCCAATCACTGTCCAAGGGAGAGAAAAGGCAACAGAAGGAAACAAAGAAGTGTCTTCTATTCTTCAGGGTGTACAAGTCAAACAGTAAGTATTACTGTGATTTTATCTATATGTCTGTGTATTTGTATCAGTTTGTGAGCATTTATGCACGTACAAGTTAAGCATTTTTTTGTTTTTAATTATGCAATGTGCTTGCAATCCACAGATTTTTTTCACTAAACCTTAGGCATGGATGACCCAGAAATCCGTCAACAGAAGCTTGAAAATCAGGTAAAACCACAGTTATTTATTTTTATAATTTTCCTGAGTTTGTCAACGCAGTCTCAACTGCATGTTTTTTCCTATTTAATTCTTGTTTAATCCAAAGGCTGCTCTGTCATGGATGAACATTTTAATAGCCTTCTTAATTAAATTAATGCTGCAGTTGTTCAGCTAATTTATTGAAATCAGAAAATTACTGTGGCTATGTGCATTATAATGCATCAGGTCAATGAGAATTAAAATATAGCTTCCATTAACTATTGCCCCATCTATAGATTAACAAAATTTATATATAGCCATATCATTAGCAGAGAAAAAGCCAGTCTCTGACATTTCAATTGTATGTCATTATTTCCCAGTTTTAGTGTGAGTTTTGTTAGTAAAAATGTGTATATTTATTTCTGTGATTTTATTTAATCCCCTGCAACTGCAAGCCATTTTTGGGTAGCAACAGATCAATCATTCTGAATGTAAAAAGCTACTAAATATATCCTAATTAGGATATATCACTGCCAGTCTTTCTTGAAATAAAGAGAATCGATGTATAGGGTATTTTTTCTTTTTCTTTTTTTTCTTATTACCTTTTTCACATCACAAACCATGACAATCCTTGCGATTTTTCAGCCTGGTTTCGCAAGAGGAATGATTTGGGCTTGAGGCCTCATTCAAGTGGTCGGTCTGGAAATTCTCTGTTATCATCCTGCAACCTCTTATTTCAGAATACTTTGCAAGGCAATTTTCCTTTAGACCAGTCATTTTAAATAATTTTGTAAATATTGTAAAAATGAAATAATAGTCCTTATCCTAGTAATTAATTTCTCTGCTTTGAGTGGCATTTGACTGGTAAAGCATGAGTGATATTGGCAGAACTATATGTCTTACTTTATACTCATATAGCTAAATAATTTTTAAATACATATATACATAAACACTGACAGACCAGTGGTCACCAACTGGCAGAATGTGGTCTGCATCTGGACCGAAATACAACTGAATCCATATCATATGATTGACCCCCCCATTTTTGTTTTCGTTTTGGACGCAGTGGACCATAGCTTTGTGTAGCTGATGGAATTTGGCCCTCTGGGTAAAATAGATGGGGACCCATATTCTACATCTGTAAATATACATGGCATATGTGAAACAAGTTATTTTTGTTCTTATATTTAATGCTGAGATGAGGATAGTGATACTTATGGGGAAGTTATCTTTGCCCCGTGTACTTTGCAGCACCTTGGGAGCTGGGGGTTAAGGGCCTTGCTCAAGGGCCTATGGACATGTGGCTATTCTGCCAAGGCTGGGACTTGGGCCAGTGACCTTCTGATCACAGGCACAAAGGCATAGCCTCCTGAGGCGCACATTTCACACATTTTAGCCACATTTTCACTAAGCTAGCAATGTTACGGTCAATATTACTACATCACAACCTTAAGGTCAGCTACCTGGTCCATGCTTAATGATTATGAACAGAGAGAAAAATCCAGCCTGATGTTAGAGATTATAGTAAAAAAAATACAAGAATGGGATGGCATTAAAGTTCATGTGTGTGTAAAGGCAGGTGTCCCAATACTTTTGTCAATATAGTGTCTTGCTTCAGCGGGCATAGAGCGGGGAAGCAGCACAGGAGCCCGAGGAATTCGTGTAAACGAGAGATTTATTTGGAGAACAGTAAGGAACACGACGCAGCACAATGACTGGACTGGGGAAACATAATCTAACGCGGACTTAAATGCAACAGACTGATTAACAACAGCATGAATGAGCCGGTAACACGGGGATTCCACACGGGGTAGATGAGGGGGCATGGCACACAGGAGGAGCGGACGATCAGGCAGGACATATAGTGTATATCGAGCATAACACTCAGTCATGTATCCCATAATATCTGTGACAAGAATGAAAGAAATATCAGTATAAACTAAAGAGAAAGTATTTGTACAGGCATGTGCAGAGAAGGGTGCTGTGGGTACCTGAGCACTTGTCCCTTTTGTCCAAAATATCGAAAGTGCCTCCATTTAAAGACACTGAGTTCCTTCCTTAAAGGCACTGATTTCTTCCCAAGTTCCTCTCTTTAAAGGCATTGAGTTCCCTCCTTTAAAGGCACTGCGTCAGGATCGGTCCCTGTCCTACCCTGGTCCATGTGTCATTTCCCTGTTTGGCCAGCAGGTGTCGCTGGTCATCCAGTCTCCTGTTTTCCCTCCAGGTTTGTTTTAGTCCTTAGTGTGTTCCTCTGTTCCCCAGGCTGCCGCGTGGCTGAATGGGCTAAGCGTTTGGCTGTGCATCTATAATACCCTACTGTCATGGTTATGTTGGACTGTTTGTTTATATATGTTAGTATAGGTCCTTGTTTTTGTAACCTTGTTTCTAGTTATCCCTACCTGTGTTTAATTTGTAATTATTTTCTGTACCAATATATCTAGTCTTTGCTAGTGCCTGTAGTGATTCTTGTTTATGCTCGCCTGTTTCTTGTTAGTTGTAGTTCTTAGTGTTGTGTGACAGCACACCTTTCCCTTGTTGAAGCCCTCATTATGTGTGTGTATGTATGTGCCTGCCCTTGCTCTGTTTTCACAGTTCACAGTCATTTTGTGTCTGTAGCTGTTGTCGCATTGTGCTCATGCTGTATTGCTATGGTTGTTCCTGTGTTGCTCCTTGCCTTGGTTTTCCCATTTACCTGCTTTGTTTTTTTACCCCTTGTGGTAAAGTTCTATTTCTGTACCACAATGTGGATCGTCCACCCTTTAGCATTGCCCATTCAAAACACACTGTCCCTCAGTAAAGGCACTGAGTGCTTTTTAATTTTGAGCACCAACGGTGACCAACTTAGCAAACCACCAGCACCCCCCACCCCCGGGCTGATAACTGTTGAGCTTGTGCCCCTCAAGAAGTCTCTGGATGTCCCTGCATCTGCTTGTTTCTCTTTTGCGTTTTGCTTATTTTTGCCTTTGATTTTACTGTGTGTAAATCAGGATATCATGTTATTATATACTTAGAAACTGAACAAAATATCACATTTATGCTAAAAAAAAATGCATCCCTCTTGTGCCTTTCCGTTGTCCCCTTATAGAGAATTCTTCTAATTAAGAAGCAGCAAAGAAGGAGAGCTGATACCCAAATGCTGAAAGCAAATTGTGATGTTTGGCCCAAGACCAGGAAGCTGAAATTTGGGGCAGAGGACAAGACTCCCTTGGTCAGCCAACCACAGAGTTATACATCACTGAAAAGTTAGTAAACACTGAACTGGCACTATTAAAGTAATGGTATACAATTTATGAGACCCATTTGGGTCATAATGAACAAAAATGGACATGATTGGAATTAAGACCATGCCCTGAGGAATATTCTGAGTAATTCAGAGTAAATGGTTTTGAAATACTTTCTTTTCCATAATGGTCAGATAAACAATGAAACATTCAGAGCTCCAGTGGCAATAAATTAAATTTAACACTAGCAAGACAAAGTTTTCAGCTTGCCTTCGGGAGAAAATCCCAGAGACTCAGTTATAAGCAAAGTGTGATGGGAGTCACGACTGAAATGTCTTGGGGAACCGACATTTGTTTTGGGATGCCTCCCATGGGTCTTTCTAGATCTACGGAACTAAATATAAATTTCTTTTTCAGTGATTTGTGATGTGTTTGTGTATTCAGTTAAGCCATCATTCTTTCGTCATTCCACTCAATGATTCAGCACCATTTCTTTTCCCGATCAGGGCGTCTGGGTGTGTTTGACTGCTGCTGGTAGCTCTGATAATGACTGAGGCCCACAATATAACAATACAGATTCAGGGGCTACACAGATGCCCATCAGTAATAAGAAAGCAGACAAAGTGTATATTCCTAAGGATCAATACTCTCCAAAAATTCTTACTGTACCCTAAACAGTCTGCGACAATATGTGTGGAAGGAACAGGAGCAGTATAGAGCAGAATAAAAATAGCACACAGCATTCATTATAACCAGCACAGGTGCCAGTTTATATCAAAATGCTTTTGTCTGACTTTTTGAGTCTATGTACATTGACTTTTTATTCATAATTTTAAAAGTACCAACGTTACCAACCAACATACAATGAAAAAGCAAATGTATCTCAGGACATGCAGCCTTAAACTAAGCTTTAATAACGTTTTACCATATAAAACTATAACATTCACAGTCTTTTACTCATAATTGTTATCAGAACATCATTTAGTTTCCTAGATGACCCACAAACCTCTTCTGCTTATTTTATTACTAATGAATGGGAAAATGGAAATTAATTCTTGAAATACTTGTTTATTTTCTGACTGTTTTCCTCTCCGTTGTGACGGAGTTAGCCGGTGACGATGTGACAGTCACCCCCCCCGACAGCCTTGACATCCCCTTGGAAGAGATCAGCCTGGACGAGGGGAACTTTCCGTCCAACAAAGCTGCAAGGCCTACGGTAACCAGGAAGATCCATTTACAAACTGATCATGAATCACGAGACATTGGAGTTGAAACAAGAAGTTGGTCAGAGAAACAAACAAAAATCAAGAAAAAAGTCGGCAAAGAAGAAAACGAAACAGGCAAGTTTGTGTTTGAGTGGTCACGTAAATAATGTTATGCTAAACATGCATACATACTAGATGTTGTTTGGATATAGCATATGCAAAATGAATGAATACATCCTGTATGTGTGTTTTGTATATACTTTCTACATATGTAGCTCAGCAGCTTATGGCTCAGAGCCTGTCTGGAAGGTTTTAGGTTTAAGTCCTGTCACTGAGCAAACCACTTAACCCAATAGCAGAGTGAGAAATTATAGTATGGGTGGGTTAGGGCATAAAATCAGATGAGAAAATCAGTCCCATAACAAATCACTTGGCAACAAAATTACACTCAACCATACATATACACTATATGGACAAAATTATTGGGACACCTGGCCATTACACCTGATGATGTTCCATTCTAAATCCATATGCATCAATATTGAATTGGTCCCACTTCGCAGCTGTAACAGCTGCCAAGGTAGCTTTAACCCCAACTGCCCCCCGATGCTGGATGCTGGCTGAGCCTGTTCTCTGGTCCTAAGCTCCTCATTTTGTTGATTGGAGCAAAAGTCTCTCATACATAAATGGTGTATTTTATATATGTACTGTAAACACAAACACACACACACACACACACACACACACACACACACAGAGGTTTGTAATTATATCTTTGTGAGGACTCTCCATTCATTTCTATGGGGGAAACTCTAATCCCAACATGACGACCCTAACCCCTACCTGTCAGGGTCTCTCGCATCTGACCCTGCCCTTTGTGTCTCATCCCCTTTTGGCCTCGTGTGTATTTTCTTGTTCTCCATGACCCTACATAGCTCATGGCTTGAGTGAGTGACTTCCAAGCTAACAGCTCTCCAGTTGTGGATTTGAGCTTGGCCTTGGCCTGCATTACCATTTGTTTATTTTTGGGTTTTATTTTATCCTTAGCTTTTGGTTTTTTCTTATCTTTCATGGTTTGTCCTTGTGCTCCTGTTTTGGTTTATCCTGCCTGTGTCTTGTTTTATGTTTGTGAGTTTTTTTTAATTCTTAGTTATTCCTAATGTTAGCTTTCAGTGTTTTGCAGTGTTAAGTGTTTGGAGTTTCCTTGTTCTGAGATTAGTTAATTGTAATCCATCCCACCTGTTCCTAGTATGTAGTCTTCTTAATTGACTGTGAGTTACACTTGTCCCTTGTTCTCCATTGTTTTCTGTGTGTATTGAACTTCCTGCCTTAGTTTATTCATCATTGTGATAGAAAGTCAGATGCTCCTGCTGTGTGCCTGAGGCTGTAGATTTTTGTAGTTGGTCCTTATTTCCCCCCATTTCCTTTTGACCCCACAAGGTCCTGTTACATTGAAGTTTTCCCAATAAGCCCCTTTGTCTTGGTGCTTTTAAGTGGATTGTCACCTTTTTTCGGCACCTGTGCCATGCCGCGCCATGGCACTACCCAGCCCTAACCTTAACCACAAGTAAGCAAAATATGAGACTTTAGGCATTTTTAGTTTTTTGATTGCAAAATGGTCCCCACAATGTCAAAATAACATGGGGTTTTTATCACATTGTGGTGGCCTGTTGGTCCCCATAAAGTAATGCAAACATAATCTACACGTTGATACACACACAACAGGACTTTCAGAAAATGAAAAATATGACGTAAGCCAGTACTAAACCCAGTATCTTTGAAAATGTATCAAAGGAATACTAATGTACAAAAATTAAAACAATGCAACCAATATTTTCTTGCTATATTTTGCACTGTATTTAAATGCTGGTTGTCACATGCATTTCTTACTTCTCAGTGGTTCAGATTAATTTTGGGATGGCATATAAGATGTGTGAGCATGCGACCAGTGAGCAGGACAGAGACGACCCGCCTCGTGACGCTGACTGGACATTCCCTGTGGAGACATGTCAGCCTGTGACATGTAAGTTGTGTACCGTAGAACTGTAGACCCATTTTATTAATCTCCAGGCAGTTTCTGAGGTATGTGTAGAGCACTTATAACACTGAGAGGTGGATCTGGGTTCCTTACTGAAGCGTGTAACGTATGGTCTGTTTTCCGTGTGCACAGTGAAAGGAGTATTGTGAAAAAGCAGAGAATTTCATGACAAATTTCATCTTCTTACATCATCAAAAGTTATTTCTGTGCTGCTTTATTCTGAAAGTTTATTGACAGCAGAATTCATGAGCTGTGCAAATCGCTGGCATTTTCTGGCCTGAATATTGACCCTCATTCCTGAACATTCTCTCAGCCTGTTAAAACAATATTCATATTCAGTTTAACAGATACAGAAATAGATACTGTTACTCTGTCCCGATGGTCTTTTTTGTATTAGTGTTACTAAACACAGGAATGTCTCTGGAAAACATTCAAACCCATCCTCAGCATCTAGAAATAATTTAATTGTACTGTGTGTTCATTTTTATATTGAACTCAGGTAGTGAGTATCAGAGGGACTGGAATAATATCATTACTCCGCAGGACCAGTCACTTTAATTTCATTATTCAAGTACCAGCATGCCTTGCACCACGATGCTAGTATGTGTTAACCTTGTGGTTTAAATGTGTGTGTGTTTATGAGTTTTTTATATTGTGAATGATCGCATGGTAACTTGTGTACTGTTTTCCACTACAGTGTGTGTGTTTCTGTGAGTGCCACACCCTGAGTGTTTGCGGCATGTAAATAGCTGAGTCGCTGTGCTCGTGCTGCCGATCGAGGGAGTTGTTATGATCCCCTGTTTAGTGGGGTAGGGGAGTAACAGAATGAATGGAAGGGGTAAAGAAAACCATGGCACCTGAAATGGATTAATGTAAAAACACCAGGTATATTTACAAGGACTGACAACGCAATTGGGTTGCGACCTGGGCCAAAAGAACAACCAAAACAAACTACCAGGATGATCTAATACCACCTACCCTAAACAAAGAAAAAGGAAACAAAAGACAATCACTCACCCTGACTTCTTACCCAAACACACACAAAATAGATCAACAAAAATGGCAGTCATTCCTTACCACACACACAATATGCAAAAGTAGCTGAGGCGAAGGTATCTGAGGGTGTATCTAAACCGTGGTCAACAAAAAGGCAAAGTGATCGATACCTGGAAAAACTCACAAGGAGATAAAAATCGGAAGTGATGACCTAACGTCAATGATGTTTGTTGAAAACATTATACAAGGTGATGACATATCCCTTTGCTTTGTTAATGAATTTACTATTATGAATTTACCTTCTCTATGAAATGTCTTATGTACAACCCGAATTCCGGAAAAGTTGGGACGTTAAATTTAAATAAAATGAAAACTAAAAGACTTTCAAATCACATGAGCCAATATTTTATTCACAACAAAACATAACAAAGATAACATAACAAATGTTCAAAATGGGAAACTCTACACCTTTATCCACTAAATGAGCTCGTTTCAAATTTGATGCCTGCTACAGGTCCCAAAAAAGTTGGCATGGGGGCAACAAATGGCTGAAAAAGCAAGAAAGTCTAAAAAGATTCAGCTGGGAGAACATCTAGCGACTAATTAAGTTAATTGATATCAGGTCTGTAACATGATTAGCTATAAAAGGGTTGTCTTAGAGAGGCAGAGGCTCTCCAATATCTGAAAGAGTGCGTAAAAAAGATTGTGGAATACTTTAAAAACAATGTTCCGCAACGTCATATTGCAAAGGCTTTGCAAATTTCATCATCTACAGTGCATAACATCATCAGAAGATTCAAAGAAACTGGAGATATCTCTGTGCGTGAGGGACAAGGCCGAAAGCCCTTTATTGGATGCCCGTGGTCTTCGGGCCTTCAGACGACTCTGCATCACTCATCGGCATGATTGTGTCAATGACATTACTAAATAGGCCCAGGAATACTTCCAGAAAGCACTGTCAGAAAACACAATCCACTGTGCCATCTGCAGATGCCAACTTAAGCTCTATCATCCAACAAGGAAACCATATCTGAACATGGTCCAGAAGCGCCGTTGTGTCCTGTGGGCCAAGACTCATTTGAAATGGACTGTTTCAAAGTGGGAAAGTGTTCTATGGTCAGAGGAGTCCAAATTTGACATTTTTGTTGGTAATCAAGGATGTCGTGTCCTCCAGGCTAAAGAGGAGGGAGACCTTCCAGCGTGGTATCAGCATTCAGTTCAAAAGCCAGCATCTCTGATGGTATGGGGGTGCATAAATGCATACGGTATGGGCAGCTTGCATGTTTTGGAAGGAACTATGAATGCTCAAAGGTATATAAAGGTTTTAGAGCAACATATGCTCCCCTCCAGATGACGTCTACTTCAAGGAAGGCCTTGTGTATTTCAGCTGGACAATGCAAAACCACATATCGCTGCTATTACAACAGCATGGCTTCGTCGGAGAAGAGTCCGGGTGCTGAATTGGCCTGCCTGCAGTCCAGATCTTTCACCTATAGAGAACATTTGGCGCATCATTAAATGGAAAATACGTCAAAAACAATCACGAACTCTTCAGCAGCTGGCAACCTATATCAGGACCAAATTCCAACACCAAAACTCCATAACCTCGATGCCCAGATGTCTCCAAACTGTTTTGAAAAGAAGAGGTGCTATACCATGGTAAACATGCTCCTATCCCAACTATTTTGAGACCTGTAGCAAGCATCAAATTCGAAATTAGTTCATTTTGTGCATAAAATCGTAAAATTTCTCAGTTTAAACATTTATCTGTGTTCTGTTGTGAATAAAATATTGGCTTATGTGATTTGAAAGTCTTTTAGTTTTCATTTTATTCAAATTTAAAGAACATGCCAACTTTTCTAGAATTCAGGTTGTAAGTAAAGTTGCCTTGCATTAAATGTAATTCATGCAACACTTAATATTAGAAAACTTTTTATCGGCACAAATCCTGCTAATTTTGTCTTTAAGAAACCTAATGTGACATCTACCTCTTATGACTGGTTTGTTTTTATTGTTCATGTAAAAGGGAATGCAGTGAATATAGGGCGGGTATTGGAGGTTGCGATGTCAAAGGTTTCTGGGATCTGTCATCTCTGGAAGCAAATGGCATTAAATGCAGTAGATTACTAATTTATTCAATTGTGGAGATATGTGGCTGACTATTAATTTAGGGGAATCCACCAGTAGCTTACCATCTGACAAAGGTTCCTTTGGTGAGGCCTAGAGATTCAGGAGAAGTCATCACACCTGCAACCTTCTTTGCATGTCGCTCGAGATGGCATCTGCTTTTTAATGGCAATGGCAATTGGGAAAGCAGTGATCTGTACTGCTGCAATGTGTAACAGTTATGCAGGTGCAAGATGCAGCACTGCTTAAAGAGATAGACAAATCTATTGCTGCACTACCTGTGACATAACTGGCCCAGATGACCTGATATATTTCCCCAAGATGGTCGCAAGGTAGAACTCCCGGGCAATTTCCTAATCATGTACTGTAGCGATAGCTGCAATATCTGGGTGTGAACATCAGGAGATAAACAGAACCCCAGTCTCACAGAACTTGCAATGAGGAGAAGTGAAAGGGCTCATCTAACCATCCCCCCATACTCTGCTGTTTCTGTTCCCTCCTCATGCCAGAACCCTGGGATTTGCTGCTTAAACTCTGTGGTTAGGTAGTTGAGCAGGTTCACATTGATGGTTTTTTACTGGTGTCTTGTCCCATCACATAAAAGCCAAAGAAGAAGTTGTATGTACCATTGCGCTTACATATTCTTAACATGTACAACTATGGGAACCACTTCATTTGATTTATTATTGTTGAATTTGTTTTTACCGTGACTGTCACCAAGAAAACATAATAGAAGATGGATGGATGGATGGATGGATGGACATTCCTCTTGTCTCTCTGCGTGTGGAGTGTGTTCTTGATGGTTCCTTCTTGGTACTCCTGTTTTTACCCACAGTGGTTGGATGGACCTGTGCCCACAGTGTGTGACTGGGAGAACGTGTGTGACTGGGAGAGCATGTGTGAGTGGGAGAGCGTGTGCTCTGCGATGGACTGACATCCCTCTCTGGGTGTCATGCTGTGTGCATCCTGGAATAGGCTCCATGGTCACTGAGTTTGCTTCACTTTATTCCAAACACACATGTAGCAGCTCTTTAATGGTCACCTTTGGCATTTCAGCAAAGAGTCAAACTAGCGACAGTGATGATGAAGAGGAGACAGAAGAGGAGAGCGATGAAGAAGAGGAAGAAGATTTGCAAACTTTTACAAAGGTTAAAAAAAGGGATGGGGACACTCGATGCCTTGCAGATTTCAATACTAATCGACGGCACTCATTCTCAGACAACATCTCAGATGGAAGGGTAAGTGCTATTGTGATTTAAATGCTCATGTCTTACCAGTGTTTCCGTTATAAGTGCTAATAAGACTGAGCCTCACTTTCGGTTTGTTGACTGTACCTGTATCTGCTTTAGTCTTTCCCCCTCTCCATAGAGGACCTGGGACAGTTCGCTCTGCGCCCTGCTCCAAGAGACTCAACAATCCAATGCAGGATAACACGGGACAGAAGAGGCATGGAGAGAGGAATTTACCCCACATATTACCTCCATCTTGAGAAAGAAGATGGGACACGGGTCCGTAAGCAAGAAGCGAAGGACACAATTGGTTAAAATCACAAAAGTTTATCCGATATTTAACAAACTTGACAATTCCATAACAGGTCTTTCTGATGGCTGGCAGGAAGAGGAAAAAGAGCAAAACCTCAAACTACCTGATCTCCACTGACCCAACCGACTTATCCAGAAAGACAAAGAGCTACATAGGCAAATTACGGTGAGCCTTCCTGCCATTTTCTGGCAACACTGGAGAGTGTTGTGTCCTAAACAATCACCTGCCTTTCAGCAGCGCTCTCCCTGAATTACATGTTGCTATATTTTAATACAGTCACTGTCAGGATCAGTCCCTGTCCCATGTCCGTTCCCTGTTTGGCCAGCAGGTGTCAGTGACCATCCCATGTCCATTAGCTCCTAATATGTTCTCGCATTGTGCTGCCACATGGCTTAATGGATTGAGCTGGTTGCTGTGTCATCCAGGCTTCTTTTTTGTCATGTTTAATTTTTCTAGTTTGTTTCCTGGTTTATTTTTCTGTTGCTCCCAGTTCTTGCTTGCAGTACTGTTCATTTATCTTTGTTACCCTAGTCTCCCCTGGTGTGTGATTCTTTACCTGTTGATTGCCCCTCACCTGTGTTTGTTGCTGCCCAAACCTGTCTCCTGTTAATCCTTGTCATGTGTGTATTTAGGTGCCCTTGCTTTAGTCTTTAGTCGGTCATTGTAGTTGTTCTGGAGTAGCTGTTTATGTGTTTGTTTCTGCAGTGCTGTGATTGTTCCTGTGTTGCTCCCTGCCTTAGTTCTTGTGTTCCGGCTTTGTTTTTGACCCCTCATGATCCTTCGTTTTTGATTTTTTTGTTTTTGTTTCTTTATTTTTTTTTTTTAGTTAAATAAAGTTCTTTGCATTTTGTGAGCTGCACCATGGATTGTCCCTTTGTCCTTCAGCCAGACCATCTGTAACAGTAACTTCCCGCTCTGTGAACCATGCCGTTTGGGTCTTTCTGTCATATGATCCTTTTCCCTTTTCAGGTCCAACGTGCTGGGTACTAAATTCACTGTGTTTGACGGCGGGGAAAATCCAGAAAAACAGCCTTTTATCAAAGAGACAGAGATGCTTCGCCAGGAACTTGCAGCCATCTGCTATGTGAGTTGAATTTATGCCTAGAGGGTTTGGATGAGGTAAACATGCTGGTGTGAATGGACAGACAATATCAGTACCAGAGACGTACGGTCAGGACAGCCTGGCAAGCAAAGCCCCCCCTTGCCTGAGTACAGCAATAGTGAAATGGTATTTGCAGAACTTTTTCCCATTGATATTTCGTATATTGATGATTAATACTGAGATCCAGATTATCCTACTTATTGCATAAAGGCAGTCCCCAGGTTAAGAACACCCGAAGCCAATTATATTAATAATTAGTTTAAATACAATGGTTTGTAATGGCGAATGCAAACACTACTTTGTGACCCTCGTGGTTTGTCGGCTCAAGGTACAGTACAGTAGAGCACCATATGCAGTTACTTTTATTATCACTGTATCTTAATAATAATAATAATTGGTGATATCTTAAACAACTGAGGTATTGTCAATGTTTGACTGAGAACAATAATAAATTAGTTGCCAAATAAGTAGATTAACAATTTTTTGATAAGAAATTGCAGCACAAACTTCTGTTTAGCTTGCAGTTGCTCTGGTTTTCTTTCACAGTCCAAAGCAATGTGGCATCAGAGTCTCTGAATTGCCCTTGGTATGTGTGCCAGTCTGAGACCTGTAAGGTACTGGATTCCTATTTATTAATGCTTCCTTATGTTTTTCATCAAAAGCAGCATGTGGTTCAGTGAGCTAAAACTCCGTGCTTGTGACTGGAAGGTTGCTGGTTTGATCCCTGCCTCACCAGAAGAAGCCACATGGCTATTGCATTTTTGAGCAAGGCCCTTAACCCACAGCTCAGTGAGTAGCTCCTCTTTGCTGTCAAGCTTGCCCTCACCTGTATGTTTCTGTGTGTCACAGAGAGCAAGGTGGGGTAGGCAAAAAGAGATATTCCCCACAGGGATCAATAAAGTATAATCATTTTAATGAAGTCGTGAATTTTAATATAAATTAGGTAAGCCTAGAGTTATATGCATAGGATGCCTGAAATAAATTCAAAAATGAAATGCAAAATTAAACAAATTAGAATCAGAAGCAGAATCAGGTTAATTGGCCTAGTGTGTGTGTGGCACATGCAATTTCTTTCCGGCAGTTGGTCTCTCTCCAGTATATTACAATACAATAGAACAAAACAGTACAGATTAAATACATTTTTACATATAAAAGACACCTTATTTTCAGACAGACAATGTACATAAAGTGCAAACAACATACAAGGTGCAAAGTGTGTGGGGTGTCTTAGATTCGGTTCAGTGGTGTGTTGTGAGTGGAGCAGGGTGCAGCAGCCAGGGAAACAGATGTAAGTTGATGTTGCAGGTCAGGTGTTTGTAAGGGTGATGGCTTGAGGGAAGAGACTGTTCCTGTGGCGACTGGTCCTGGTCTGCAGACCTCTGAATCGTCTGCTAGAGGGGAGGAGTTCAAAGAGACGGGGCCCAGGGTGTGATAGGTCACTGATGATTTTTGCTTCTTGAAGTGTCCAAGTGCTGGAAGGAGGGCAGGGGGGGCACCAGTGATTCGTTCTGCTGTCCAGACTGTCCGTTGCAGTCTGTTCCTGTCCTGTTTGGTGGCTGCTTGTGATGGAGGGACACAGGATGGACTCGATTAAATTAAGGACAAGTATCAAAATTACATAAGAACATAAGAACTATACAAACGAGAGGAGGCCATTTTGGCCCATCGAGCTCGCTTGGGGAGAACTTAACTAATAGCTCAGAGTTGTTAAAATCTTATCTAGCTCTGATTTAAAGGAACCCAAGGATTCAGCTTGCAGCTTGTTATCAGGAAGACTACACACATGCTTCCTGGTGACCACATGCTCCCTGGACCTCATTAAATATCTAAATCACTTAATCAAGAGTTCAGTGTAGCGTGATGTTTGATGTGGATTATTTCCTAACAATAACACAGGTCCCATTTGCACATAAACTATTCCCATAAGTGAGTAACAATGAGAGACTGACAGCCTTAGAGGGT